TCTCTCTCTCTCTCTCTCTCTCTCTCTCTCTCTTTCTCTCTCTCTCTCTCTCTCTCTTTCTCTCTCGTTGTTAGAACTATGATCGATCACATGAACATTTTCATTTCGAAAGCAGAAAGACGAGTTTCTTTGATCGTTGAATCAAATCTCTCCCTTTCTCTTTCTTTTTTTCTTCTGCATTTTATATTTTATTGCAGATTCATTTTGATCGGTCCGTCATCTTCGTTGAATGAGCCGAGATCCGAGTTTATAAGGGGGGAGATGGCCGATAGAGAGGATTTCCTCTTATGGGAAGTACGTGAGCTTCTGAATTGAACACCCAATCGTTTAGATTAATGAGATCGTCGTCGCTGAATAAAAGGTAGAGATACTGCAACAGATAAACAGACAAATAATTAAGACAAATTAATACAAAAAAAAAATATAAATCAATTTTTTTTTTTATAACAATTTATTTTTATCCTATCAAATGTAATCCATGATTAAAAATAAAAAAAAGGAAATGTTACACAAACGAAGGGTCGTAAATTTTTGTATAAAATAAAATTATAACAAAGGTACCAATATTATAGAACATCAATTTTTTATTCGATTTTGTATAGAAATGTTGGTGATATTTTACTACGTGAAAGAGATTAGCGTTTAATATAAGAGATCATTGTAATCGCGCAAGTTATTTTGTACGAGTATTAAGTTATCATATTTATAATTTTGATACATTTTTGTAATATTTTTAGACAAAAAATGTTTATCCTACTATTGATAAAAAATAAATATTGTATTTACTCTTTGAACAAATTGAAAAATTATTTAATTGAATCGTAAGTAGAACGATTTCGTTCTCGGTGAGTTTAAAAGTTTTTTAAGAGTTATTTTAGCTTATCTCGAATATGTGACATATAAATTATGCATATGAAGGCTTTCAAAATATTACGAACGTCATCTTCAGCTGTTACCGATTATGATTGACTTTTACCGGCAGCCGGTTCGGAAATGTTTATAAGAAAAGAGAGAAAAAAAAAATTAGCAGAAAAGTAAAAACGGCTATAAGTTGGTCCTTATATCGACGTTTAATCTTTAAACGAAGTATTAGGGCAAACAAGTGGTCTCCATTTGCACGACTTTTTCTTTCTATCTTTCTTTCTCTTTCTCTTTCTCTTTTGTAATTCCTCTTTTATCAAATTTCTTTTCTAACTTCGTACTATCTTGATCGTAAAACCGAAAGAAATTTCGAATCGAGTTATCGTTTTATCGGTCTATAAAATTTGTACAACTTTAAATAAACAACTTTGAAAAGTCAGAAAAAGGAGAGAGAGAGAGAGAGAGAGAGAGAGAGAGAGAGAGAGAGAGAGAGAGAGAGAGAGAATATTATAAAAATTACGTTATAAGAATTTTTCAAATAAAAAATTATTTGCGTAAAGTTTTTATTCATTTACTTGAAATTAAAAGATAAAAAATG